AATGTTGAAAATGGGTGGGAATGAAGAAAAGGAATGTGAAAGCGAAGGATCCAGGTTTCCTTTTTGTGTTTAATTTGTGGTTTAAGTGTGGAATAAAACAAAATATAGGAACATAGAATAAAGTAAAATAAATTAAAATCAAGTAATAAGATAAAATGAAAAGAGAAAATTTCAGAAAGGAAAAAAATGTTCAAGGCTTTTATCTGTGTTTCCTAGTAGCCTAGGCAACATAGGAAATTATCCATGGACTGTGCACCTCATATTATGCTACAGGAAGAGGACATCAATTCATGGTGGGAACACGTTTTCCTGGTTCTCAGTGTTGAGAGGAGTCTCCCCTACTGGCCTTTGAAACAGATTCATTGTTCTCCCCAAAACTGAGAAATGTTCCCTAACAAGATTTTGCCTACCAGACCTTGGGAAAGCTGAAGAATGTTAAAAAGTCTCTTCTATAAAAGCAAGTCTATGAAGATGATGGTGAGATATTTAAAGAATGATACCATCTAGTTGTCCAACTTTGTGTTGATCTGTATTGATGTGAGACTTTGAGATTAGTTAGATACCCTTTTTAATAGTCTTTCAGGAAGTATACTGATGAGACATAGTACCATCTGGTCACCCTGTAGACTCATGGCAAATAATCACTGTTTTAAATTGACTTTGTAAGAGAGAAAGAGAGAAAGAGAGAGAGAGGGAGGGAGGGAGGGAAAGAGAGAGAGAGAGAGAGAGAGAGATATCTGTTGTTCCACTTATTTATGCATTCATTGGTTGACTCTTGTATGTGCCCTGACTGGGGATCAACCTGCAACCTTGGCATATTGGGGTGACACTCTAACCAATAGAGCTTCCTTTTTAAGAATAATCACTTGTTTTAAACCACTAAGTTTTGAAGTGGTTTCTTATGCAGCCAGAGACAACTAAAGAAATCTTATTTAATTTTTACAACAATCCTATGAAGGTATTTACCTTTACTTTACAGATGAACAAACTAAAGACCAGAGAGTCTAAGCAATGAATCCAAATGTCACAGAGCTCCTACGTAGATGTGCTGAGACAAATATCAGCTAAGTTACCTGAGTGACTGATTTACAAGACCATGAACTATAACAGAGCCACAATGAGAAAGAGTTCATTTAGAGGAAAATTAGGCAATTTGTAATTGTTATTCTCTATAACATCGGAACTTTAAACAAAGCAGAGTAAACTAGAAAGGCCTAAAATAAGTGTAGTACAGAAATCTTTTTAGGAAACCAAGGCAGCCTGCCAAACACCTGTTTCACTGCCTTGAGGGCTTTCATGCTGTTCAAGAGGAGCTAGCTTGTAAAGAAGGGTTCACTGATGGAAGCCAGACTGGAGTATTCTGCAATAGTTCTTCCAGTCCTCACTCCCAGCTGTGAACTCGGGCCATTCTTCCTTCCTTTTCATCTTCCTTCCTATCTTCCTTTCTTAAATGTTCAGAGTGAGCATAAATTAAGAGCTTGTCCCTGTCCTAGGTTCTGATGATATAGTGATGGTCAAGTAATGCATTGTGTGGTCAGGTTAACGGGAAGACAAGTAATGACAACCAGAGAGGTAAACACTAGACAAGACACACAGAGAGCTCTGGGGGACTGGGTAAGTGACTCCCGTCAATGTCAGCAGGGAATGGAAAGAGACTTGGTCAAGGAAGGCTTCTCAGAGGTGAGGATGATTAAGTTTAGTCCTCTAGGATGAGGAGCTCATCTCCTGAAGGGGAGAGAAACCAAGACCATGGGCAAAGGCCTGAACTAGAAAGAGTACATAGCTCTTAACAGTCACCTCAGCCCTCTCTTTGGAGTACCCCACTGCGTTGTTATTGGGGTAGGAGAAGGAATAGAAATGGTGAACCTGGAGAAGAGAGCAGAAATCAGAGCATGGGAGGCCTTTTGTGCTATAGTCAGGTGACTCTCTCTGAAGGCCAAAGGAATGCCACTGAATTTGAGGTTTTAAGGAAGGAAGTTACATGATCCTATTTTTCTTTCAGGAAGATCACAATGAGTACATTGTAGAAAATAGACATAGGAGGTTAAATTATAGGCAGGACTCAAGTCAGAAGTAACAGAAATTAGGAAGTTACTAATGACGAGAAAGACTAATGAGAAAGGAGGTGTCAGTGAGGAAGAAGAGAGGTGGCTGGATTCGAGAAATAAAAAGGAGACAAGGAGACTTGATGAATCAGCAGATATGATGTGCTCCCCTAGTTAAGTCCTTTACAAAGTCATAATATAATAATAAATAAAACAACTTATTCAGTAAATTCCAAAGACAGTATTAATTCATACAATTCAGAATTTGATTTTAGAGTGGTATAATGGATAATAATTAAGATAACAATTTCTAAAATACACCAAGCACTCAACCCCATGACAGGCATGGTGTGGTCAGCTTCATGTGTCTTTTCTCACTCAGTTTTCTCAAGGACCTTATGAGGTAGGTAAAATTATGACCTCACTTTACATATGGGCAATATTAGTCATATCATTACTTTTTTGGTTGATTCAATAAACATACATTAGTTTGTATGTACCAGACACTATGTTAGGGGCTGTAGCAAACAAAAAAGAATACAATACACTAGCCCTAGAGATGCTCATGGCCAAGTGGGAAAATCTAACACTGAAAAATGGAAAATTCCACTATGGTACTGCTGTCAGAGAAATGAATGGATTGCCTTTCCCCTTTGTTGTTGGGAGTGGGGTTCTTGGGGTACCACCAGAATAAGCATTTCTAGAGGCCCCCATGGGAGGATGCGATGAGGTACAAAGCTTTATTTGCACAGAATTACATCCCTTTGTTTCCAAAGTCCCATTTCTATTAAACCAGACCTAGAAAAGGTGCAGCTGGGGATTCAGCGGGCTATCAGCAAAGCTAGTGTCCACAGTTTCCTTTTCATGGTGGAGCTGGACCCGGTACACCATCAGGCCAGTTGTAGTCCATTAGTCCATTGTGTATGGGGTCCGCGTGGCTGTGAACCATGCAAGCGAATGCAGGAGGGTAAGAGCCCCACAAGCCAGGGAGAGGCAAGGGAGAGAACTCCTTTGTTTAGGAGATTAAATATATCTCAAATCTTCCCACACTTATAGTGGCCAAGCCTACTCTGGCCAATGACCTGTTCCCAGGTGTGACTGACAGGCAAGTACCTTCCCTGTATCACTCAGACTTTATTGGGCATGCATCCATTCTTCCTCTGTCCATGGACTGGCAGCTTCCTGGGGAGTGTTAAACTGCAGCTTCCTGGCAAAGCTGCACACATGGCATGTCTGTAAAAGTTGGCTTTCCCTTTGCTCCTTTCCTGTTAATCATAACTAAGTTATTTATAATGGTATCAGTATACTAGTTTTCATCACAGCTGTCTAGTCCAAGAACTGTAGGAAGATTCTGGAGATAACAGAGAAGAGAACTTCAGCTCAAATACCCCCACTAGCGTAATTCCCAATGTCAGACAGAAGCCAATACCTGGGCTACTGTTTGCAGTTGGGCTGGCTATGTCATGAATGGATTTCCCCAGTCATAAGAAAAGGGGGTACAGGGTAGGTGGTGTGGGTTAAGGTAGTATGGGTTCATGCAGCATTGGAGGTGGGGGAACTTCAAGCCAAAATCCAGCCTTGTTCTACTCATCTGACCATGTGCAGGTGCAGGTCTGCCTCTGCCCAGAGGAAGGCACCATGTGGACCAGTGGCAGCTCTGGCCAATGACATATCTAGTATCCAATAAAGAGAATACTGTGACTAGTTCATAATTGACTGATGCCTGCTTGCTTTTTTCTTCAACAAAGATTCTAGATAGGGTCAAAAGTAGTCCCTTCCTCTTCAAATGGAACCTTCTCATATTAGTTTTTACTTTTCCAAACCCCAGCCAGGACTTTATACATAATGAGGATAGGTGGGATCAAGGTAACAGGATAAGCCAGAGTTTTTTGGAAACCATAGGAACTGAGGTCTAAGTCCAATGTCTTCAACTTGTGGTCCATGAACCATGGTAGGATCCAAAGCACATAGCTGAGACACAGAGGTTTCCAAAATATTATTAAGGACTCAGTTTTTCTCAAAAAAGTACTTATAATCATTGCTCTTACTTACTAGCAGAGTAATAATTTCCAAGCGCTAATAAAATCATCATTTTTGTTTGTGTGTTTCTCAACTATGGCTTTAAAATAAATAAAATATAGTATAATAAAATGAAAGTAAACCTTTTAATTAGCCCAGTGCTCTTCATTTTCTTATGTATACTCTTTTTCTGAAGGACTAGAAGAAAGTAAACCATAAATGATTGTGAAGCAGTATACACGGGTCTATTTGTGCAGCGAAGAATCGTGGGTCTAGTACTGGTTAACGAGGATTTGACCTGTAGACTCTTAAGCCCAACGGGAAGGAATTTAAGAATTCACCTTCAGGAAAGCTGCTGTGTCCAGGGATGTCCATGTGTGAAATATTACACAAACAAAAATACCTTTGTAACATAAACAAGACCATGGGGGGAAATGGGCTCACTAGGAGGGAGTGGATGCACTCTGTACTACTTCCGCTTTATGGTACCTTATTTATTATCGAGGTTGCAATACATATTTTGTAGACAAATTTTATTGCACCAATTAACTCATTAACAACCTCTAGAGAGAAGCCAGACTTCTCTGTAGGCTGGTTTCCTGAATTTTAATGACACAAATAAAGGGAAAATCCTGTGCCAGGTTCTGGGAAAGCCCCGGACTTTCCAAACAGCTCTGATTTATTTAGTGTGTCAGATCATAGAAAAGTATGAATGGTGGATTAAAATAGAGAATTTCTCAATAAATATACAACACAACAGGTTTGGCAAATTGGAACAAGCAATGTTTATAGCATTTTAATTTAGTAGGAAAAAAAAACAGACTCATTCACTCCCCCTGCCTCTTCCAAGTTGAAGCACCCGCTAGTTTATTCTAGAGCCCACACTAGCCAAGCTGGCGGGGGTTTCTGAGCGGGTAGAGTGAGGTGAAGAGTGGGTCACAAAGATCTCTGGGAGATCTCAACCTCCCAAGCACTGACCATTTCGTTGACAGTACTGATGTGGTTGATGCTATTATTAATGGCATCCGATGTGGTACCCTGGTCTCCAACGTCTAGAGTATGGACAGCTTTGTTCTTCACAGATGCCAAGACTGCAGTCCGAATGGATGTGGCCCAGGAGTGGAGCTTGAGGTAATCCAGCAAACTGCAACCTGCCAGCAGCATGCCGGGAGGGCTGGCCATATTCTCATTGGCTATGTTCTTGCCTGACTGCCATGCAGCTGTTTCAAAGACTGCATCTAAGGCGCCATAGTTGGCACCAGCCACAAGGCCTGCGCCCCCAACCAACCCTGTGCAGACATTGTTGACGATGTTGCCATAAAGATTGGGCATCACCATGACGTCAAACTGCTGGGGCCGGGATACCAGCTGCATGGTGGTATTACCCACAATCATGGCTTCAAAGGTGATCTGAGGATAGCAGGACGCCACCTCCCTACAACACTGGAGGAAGAGACCGTCCCCCAGTTTCATAAGGTTGGCCTTGTGCACGGCCCTCACTTTCTTGAGCCCCATCTCCTGAGCCAGCTGGAAGGCATATTCAGCAGTGCACGAAGACTTGGCCTCGGTAATGACCGCTAGGCTCTCCATCACTCCCTTCACACTCACGGACTGTTTCCCGGATTCACCCTCTGTGTTCTCTGAACAACCAAGAAGTCTGTGTTCTGGTGCTGTCTCCACTCCCGGCAGACTCATGTTAGCAGAGAGAGGAGGGTGGTGCGGAACGTTGCGGGATTCGTGAGGTGGTGGCAGGTTGTGGTCAGTTTCAATGTTCCCCTTCCAGACCATGCAGTTTCAATGGACTGCCGTGATGCCATTGCGAACATCCTCTTCACGAGAAGTGGAACCGAACTGCACCTCTTCAAAGTCTATAGGTGCACACGTGTACTTGACATGCAGCATAAGTTCAGGCCCAATGCCAGCCCCCGGAATCATGGTCACAGTGCACCACCCACCATCCTTGGCCAATGGAGAAATACTGTATTTAAATGAGAAGCTTCTGAGTGAGGTCTCCTGGCCAACTAAAATCTCCCAAGAGTGGCCAAGAGTAGCAGGTCAGAACATGGCCTTCACAAAGCAGCTGGAGCACATTCAGCTCCATGATCACTAAGTGTCAACGAAGCTAATTTATGTGAGAATATGTGCTCTTGCTCCGGTTTTGAATTGACTTTTATTTGCGGAATGCTAAATCCATAATTCTTGTCTAGGTCACAATTGTCTCTCCTTTGCCGTATTCTATTTTGTATAGATATTCTATTGTAGTGAGACAGAGAACTAGTCAGGAGATGTGATGTGTTACATAGTAGAAAACATGCTTTGGAATTAGATAATAATTCTTTAAGTACATTCAATGTGCTAAGCTCTGTATAATCTACTTTAAAAAATAATAATAAACTTTATATTTTAAAACAGTTTTAGATTCACAACAGAAGTAAATGGTAGGTACAGACATTTCCCATGCAGCCCCGGTCTCGACAAAGCAGCCTCCTTTATTGTCAAAATTCCCCACCACAGTGACACATTTGTTACAACTGATTAGCCTACATTTACACACCATTATCACCGAAAGTCCACAGTTTTCGTTGGGGTTCTCTCTTGGCGTTGTACATTCTGCGCTTGGGCACATTCGAATGACATGCATCCATCATTATAGTACCACACAGAGAGCTTTCACAGCCTTAAAATCCTCTTTGTTTTGCCTCTTCACCCACCCTCTCCCATAACCACCCATCCTTTTTGGGTCTGCACAGTTTTTCATTTCCCAGAATTCCGTGTACCTGAAATCACATACTACTGTCACCTTTTCTTGTTGGCTTCTCTGACTTGGTAAGATGAGGTTAAGCTTCCTCCATGTCTTTCCATGGCTTGACAGCTTTTAGCCATGAATAAGATTCCATTGGCTGGATGTACCACCGTTTCTACACTCACCTCGTGAAGGACATCTTGGTTGTCTTCAAGTTCTACAGTTATGAATAAAGCTGCTATAAACAACCATGTGCAGCTTTTGGGTGGACAGAACTTTTCAACTCATTTAGATAAATAATGAGTAGAACTACTGGATCCTATGGTAAAGTATGATTGGTTTTGTCAGAAACTACTAACCTGTCTTCCAAAGCAGCTGTACCATTTTGCACTCTCACCGACAATGAATGAGAGTTCCTGTTGTTCCATGCCCTCCCTTGCATTTGGTGTTGTAGGTGTTCCGGATTTTGGCCATTCTAATAGGCATGCAGTGATATCTAATTGCCGTTTTAATTTGCATTTCCCTGATGACATATGATGTGAAGCATCTTTTCATATGCTTATTTACCATCGGTATTTTCTTTGATGAGGTATCTGTTAAGGTTATGGCTCATTTTTTAATCAGGTTGTTTGTTTTCTTACTGTTGAGTTTTGAGTGTTCTTTGTATATTTCAGATAACGGTCTTTTATCACATGTGCCTTTTACAAATAATTTCTCCCAGTCTGTGGCTAATCTTCTCATTCTCTTGACATGGTCTTTTTGCAGATAACTTCTTCATTTTAATGAAGTCTAGCTTATTAACTATTTCTTTCAAAGACACTGCCTTTAGTATTTAGTAAAAATTCATTGCTACACCCAAAGTCATCTAGGTTTTCTCCTAGAAGTTCTAGAGTTTTGCATCTTGCATATAAGTCTATAATCCATTTGAGTTCATTTTTGTGGGGAGTTTCAGGTCTGTGTCTAGACCACATTTTATTAGTTTTGCCCATGGATGTCCACTTGTTCTAGCACTGTGTGTTGAAAAGTCTATCTTTGCTCCATTGTATTACCTTAGCCAAAGATCAGGTGACTATTTTTTAAAATACATTTTTATTGATATTTTAGAGAGAAAGGAAGGGAGAGATAGAAACATCTATGTGAGAGAGAAACATCAACTGGCTGCCTCCTGCACACCCCCTACTGGAGATCGAGCCACAACTCAGGCATGTGCTCTGACCAGGAATCGAACCAGGACCTCTCAGTCCATGGGACGATGCTCAATCCACTGATCCACACAAGCCAGGCTCAGGTGACTATTCATGTGGGTCTATTTCTGGACTTTATATTTCCTTACATTGATTTAGACATCTGTTCTTCTGCCAGTACCATGCTGTTTGGATTACTGTAGCTTCACAGTAAGTCTTGAAGTACAGTCAGTCCTCCAGCTTTGTTCCTTGTCAATATGGTGTTGTCTATTCTGGGTCTTTTGCCTCTTGATATAAACTCTGGAATCAGTTTGTCAATGTCCACAGAACAACTTCCTGGGATTTTGATTAAGTTTAACATTGAACCTATAGATCAAGTTGGGAAGAACTGCTATCTTGATCATATTAAGAGTCCCGATCCATAAAGACAGAAGATCTCTCAAGTTATTCAGTTCTTCCTTGATTTAGTTCATTGAAGTTCTGTATTTTTCCTTATATAGATCTCGAGCCTATTGTTAGATTTACACCTAAGCATTTCATTTTGGGGGATGCTAACCTAAATGAGGCTGTGTCTTTAATTTCAAATTCCATGTATTCTCTGCTGGTATACAGAAAAGCAACTGACTTCTGTATATTAACCCTGCATCCTGTAATCTTACTACAGTCACTTATAAGTTCCAGGAGTTTTTTATGGATTCTTTCAGATTGTCTACATAGACCATCTTGTCATCTGTAAACAAAGACATTTTATGTCTTCCTTCTCAATCTGTATACCTTTCATTTTCTTCTCTTGTCTTACTGCATTCATTTGAAATTCCAGCGTAACAATGAATGGAAGTGGTAAGAGAGGGCATTCTTGACTTCCACTTGATCTTAGTGGGAGAGCTTTGTGTTTCTCATCATGAAGCATGGAGTTAGCTGTAGGTTATTTGCAGATTTTTTTAATTCAAGTTGATGAAGTTACTATCTTTTATTTATTTTTTTGCAGACTTTTATTAACACAAATACAATGTGCACACAATCTATCTCTTCATTTTCTTCACTGTGCAGCCTGGCATTGGGACTTGTGACTGATGGCCAGCTGAGCTGCTCTTTCCAAAGTAGTCCTTCTGACTTTGTGGTTCGTCGAGGAGATCTGTGAGCAATCACAGCACAGTGAGATCTGTTGCACACCAGCAGCTCTTCAAGCTCCTTGTCATTGTGGACCAGGAACTTCTGAAAGCCACTGGGCAGACTGTACTTTGTTTTCTTGCTCCCATTACCAATGCTGGGCATCAAGATCTGGCCCTTGAATCTTCTGCTCACCCTACTGTCAGTGCCTCTGGGTTTCTGGCAGCTACGCTTAATTTTGACATATGGGGCTGACTGGTCCTGAATGAACTTCTTGATCCTCTTTTGACAACCTTGGGCTTCCCGAGGGGTCTGAGGGCAGCCATGGTGCCAAGTAGGAGATGCCTTAAGTTACCATCTGTGTTTGAGAGCTTTCTGTCTTTATTGATATAATCGTGCAATTTTTCTTTTTCAGCCTGAGGAAGTGATGGATTACATGAATTGATTTTCTTTCAATTACAGTTTACATTCATTATTATTTTGTATAAATTTATTTCACATGTTGAGCCAGCCCTGCATATCTGGAATAAATCTCACTTGACTGTGATGTATAACCTAATATTTTGTTAAGGATTTTCGCATCTGTGCTTGTGAGAAATATTGGCCTGTAGTTTTCTTTTCTTATAATGGCTTTGCCACGAGGGCAATGTTGGTCTCATAGAATGAGTTACAAAGCAGTCCCTCTGCTTCTATCCTCGGAAATATGTTGTAAAGAACTGGTACAATTTTTTTCTTAGATGTCTGGGAGAATTCACCAGTGAATCCACCTAGCCTGGTAATTTCAGTTTTGAAAGGCTATTAAATATTGATTTGTTTTAAAATATATACAGGTGTACCTCAGAGATATTGTGGGTTTGGTTCCAGACCACTACAGTAAAGTGAGTGTCGCAATAACATGAGTCGTAATCAGAACTCTGGTGGAGGGTTCTGTCTTCAGTGAGTTTTGGCAAATTGTGTAGATCAAGGAATTGGTCCATTTCACCTAGGTTATCAAATTTGTGAATGTAAAATTGTGCACAGTATTCCTTTATTGTCCTTTAAAAGTCTATAGGATCTATAGTGAGGTCCCCTCTCTCATTTCTGATATGAGTAATTTGTGTCCTATCTTTTTTTTTTTTTTCCCCTCCCTTAGCCTAACTAGAGGCTTACCAAAGACCAGTGTTTGGTTTTACTCTTTTTCTCTATTTATTGATTTTCTCTTATCAATTTAGTCTTGAATTCTTAATATTTATTTTCTTCTGCTAACTTTGGTAAGAGCTTAGAGTTAAGATCTTCTTCCTTCTGCTATATTCATTCATTACTATGCATTTCCCTCAAAGCACTGCTTTCACTGCTTCCCATGAACTATGTTGTTATGTAAAGTTGTGTTTTCATTTTGATTTTGTTCAGAATATTTTTTAATTTCTCTTGAGATTTCTTCTTCAAGAAGTGTGTTGTTTATTATCCATATTTATTTTGGAATTTTCCAGCTATCTTTCTATTATTGAGTTCTAGTTTAATTCTCCTGTGTTCTAAGAACAGACATTGTATTATTTCACTTCTTTTGAATATAGTAACGTGTGGCTTATGGCCCACAATGTGTTCTGTATTGGTGAATGTTCCATGTGAGCTGGGGAAGGATGTGTATTCTGCTGTTGCTGGGTAAAGTAACCTATAGATGTCAAATATATTCAATTGATTGATGGTGTTATTGAGTTCAACTATGCCCATACTGAGTTTCTGACTCATGGAGTTTGTTCCTTTTTATTGTTGTTAACTTTTTCAAAAACTGCCCAATACTCTTCCAAAATGGTTGTACCATTTTATATCCCCACCAGCAATGCAAGAGAAGTACAGGTTTCACTTTTCATCAACACTTGATATTGTTGTATTTTTATTTTTAGCCATTTAAATGAGTTGTGGTCATATTTCCGTGTGTTTTGTATGTGCATGTCCCTTTTCAGTATGCTGTCGAGTGTCTTTTAATGTACTCTCCTTGCTCAGAGCTAGTAGCATTG